CAGTGGTGTAATAGTTAAGCACTCTGCTACAAACTAAAAGTTAATGGTTCAAACTTACTCACTGGTGTCAAGAAAGAAAAGACCCAGTGGTTGGTTACTCCTGGAAGATCAGAGTCTAGAAAAATTTACAGGGTAGTTTCACTTTGTTTTACTGTTTCACTATTAATCTAAAATAATCATATCTATGCCTAACAAGACAAGAGCACATGTTGCTATTGTTAAGTGCTGCTGAGTCAAGTATGACTCATAGTGACCCTATGAACAAAAGATCTCAATCCTGTCCTATCGTGTGCCATCTTCAACATCTCTAACATATTGAGCCCACTGCCAGTCACTGTATCAATCTATCTCATTTGAGTCATCCCCTCTTTCAATGACCCTCCACCTTTGTTCAACATGCTCAAAGTATGAGATGAAACTTCACCACCTTTGCCTCTGTAGAGTATTCTGGATGCACTTTTTCCAAGACATGTATGTTTGTTCTCTTGGCAGTCCATGAGATAGTCAGTCTTCTTATCTAAAACTATAACACAAAGGCATTAGCAATTCTTCTTCTGTCATCCTTCTTCTGTTTTCAGCTCTCATATACATAAAGCAAGTGACTGAAAAGACCAGGAAATCAATGGAGTGCATCTTAGTCTTTAAACTGACATCATTGCTCCTTAGTACTTTGGAGAGGTCTCTAACTACAGACTCTCCCAATGCAATATGTCTTCTTATTTCGTGACAACTACTATCAAAGGTGAATACAAGCAAGATGAAATCACTGACAATTTCAACCTTTTCTCTACCTATCATGATGTTGCCTATCAGTCCAGTTTTGAGGATTTTTGTTTCCCGATCTTGAGATGTAATCCATGTCGAAGGCTGTGGACTTTGGTCTTCTGCAACAAGCACTTCAGGTCTTCTAAACTTTCAGTGAGCAAGGTTGTGTCATCTGCATAACACAGGTAGTTAATGAATATTCTTCCTCTCCTGATGCCTCATTCTTTTTCTTAAAGTCCAGTTCTCTAAAGCTTTGCTCAGCATAAAAAATGAATATATGACAGAGAAAGGATACAGTCCTGATGAATACCTTGATTTTAAAATATGCAGTGTTCCCTTGTTCCATCTGAATAACAGCTTCTTGGCCAAGTCTAGGTTTTGTATGAGAACAATTAAGTCTTCTGAGGTCAGTCAAATTTCTTTGCATAGTCAATAAAACACAAATAAACATTCTTCTGTTATTATCTGCTTTCAGGCAAGATCCATCTGACACCAGCAATCTCCCTGGTGCCATGGCCTCTTCTAAACCCAGCTTTAGAACATCTGGCAATTCTCTCTCAATGCACTGTTTTAACCGGTTTGGGATGACCTTCAGCCTTTATCTTGTATATGATATTAATGCAATTTTCACATTGTTTGGATCACTTTTCCTGGGAATAGGAACAAACATGGATCTATTCCAGTTAGTTGGCCAGGTAGCTGTCTTGGCAGAGACTAGTGAGCACAACAAAAAACAGTAATACATCTGTGGAAGGCCGTGTGTGGTCGCCATTACAAGATGGCGCTGATTTCCTGCTTCCTTTTTGTTTGCCTTAATCACAAATAAGACCTTATTTGGTCACCGTGTCTTTATTGGTCAATGGCTTGATCTCACGTGGGGTTAATGGTCCAATGGAGGCATGACACATGAGACTGATGGGCGGAGTACAGAGAAGGGGATATAAGCCGCACCCGGGAACGGTCAAAAAAAAAAAACTCCATGTTTTCTCCCTAACTGTAACTAACTCCTGAGTAAACCGTCCTGAGAAGGAATCGCTGGTGTGTTGTGTCCTTATTCCTGCTGGACAGGCAAGGCGCGCAACAGTGATCTCACTTTATACTGTCTTTATATTCTAGACCCTCGACCAGATGGCACTGCCACAGGCACTGCCACAATGGACTCAAGTATGGCAGAAGACAGTGCAGGGCTCAGATAGGCGGTGAACAGGGTTGCCATGAGGCATGCACGACTCAACAGCACCAAGGAAACAAACAAGTTTTAAAATTACTTTTCAACTCAACACTTACTGAGCACACATTCCAAGCTCAGCCTAATCCTCTATGCTGAGAAAACAGTCATTGTTGTTGTTGTTGTTGTTGTTATGTGCCATCAAGTTGACTATGACTCATATGACCCTATAAACAGCAGACCTGAGCCTAGCCTATCCTGTGCTGCCCTCACCATCTCCAACACAAGAGCCCATGGTTACAGTCACGGTATCAATTCATCCTGTGGTTGTTCCTCTCGAAAGCTGACCCTTCAACTTTCCAAGCATGATGTCTCAAATTATGTGAGGTGGAGTTTCACCAACGTTGCCTCTAAAGAGTATCTTGGTTTAACTTTTTCCAGGACAGACCTGTTTGTCGTCTTGGCATCCATGAGACACATTCAGTACTTTCCTCCAACACCAGAACTCAAAGTCTGCAATTCTTCTGAAGAATACAGGTTTGAATAAGAAAGACAGTCTTACTGTCATGGAGCTTATATTCTATCTAATGAGCATATCCCCTTTATGTTCTATATAAAAGTTTGTAAAATCTTAATCTAGAAAAGTGCAGCAATAGATGAATGGAAATAAAAAAATCTCTGTAAATTTTCATTAAAATTAATTTAAAAAATCTTAATCTAATCAATAATAACACTCAATTCTTAAGTAATAAATGCTCTAATGAGACAAAATCAGAGAATTTGGTTCTATGGAAGCTAGGTTAATGCACCCTGTCTATATTTTAGCCTTCTGAACTCATTCAATACTTCTTGCCAAACCTTCAGTATAAAAAACCCTCAAATTCTAAATCATGCTTGGAAAAACAGAGAATCAGCAAGATAAAGACTCAGACAGGAAGGACTGACACAGTGACCATGTGCCAATAGTCATAAAAGCATAGCAGTGACCGTGAGAGGACACAGGATCGGGCAGGGGTCCTTTCTGTTGTACATTTTAAAAACAAAAAACAAACAAGTAAAACAACTCAATGATTTCAAATCAGAACTGACTCCTAGCTGACCCCCCAGTGGGTTTTCAGAAGCTGTAAACTCCAAAGGAGGAGAAGGAGATTGCTCAGCATTTTTCCTCAATGCAACTGGTGGATTCAAACTACCCACCTTTGGGTTGCCGGTGCAACTCCCTTAACAGCAACTAACAACACATAATGAGAAGGAATTTGTTTTCTAAATCAATTCATATTTTTTAAGTCAATCTATTCACGGTGTTTCACAGATTGTTACATATTTTACAAGATTAGGCGAAGAATTTATTAACTCCCAAGATGGAAATTTCCTCATTAATACATAATAAAACCTCACTGGGAATACAGCAACCCTTATCTGCCTATAGAACAAAACTGCCTATAGGACCTTCAAATCTTTATTGATGCAGACTACTACATTTTTCTCCTGTGGAGCAGTTAGTGAAAACAGGGTTGAGGGAATTCTTAAAGTTTTTTTAAAAAAAAGAAGTACTCCTACTCTTTAGACTTCTTCAGGTTCATATTTCAGTCTTAAGAATTTATTTGGAGTGGTGAGAAGGATGTTTATATAAATTTAATGGCACTGTTAGCTTCAGGTACTATCCAACCTAATGCTCCTTTAGATCACCTCAAATTGTTAGTTATCATGTAACTAGTTTGAGATAAACTCCACATTGTTCAATCTCGGCACAGGATCACATGAATACCTTATAATAAAAAAGTATTCAATGAACATTAAATTAAAAATGAGCAGTAGATGTTCTATAAAAGATGGCTAAAGGTGAAAGAGATTTAAATTTATACCTTAATATGAAATAAAGCATTTTCTTTTTACTTTGAATAATAAAGTAGTAGTTGACCAAATACAGTGAAATACTGTACAAAAAATACGGTTAATTGACTATGATTCTGACATTACAATTGTAAACTATCTGACAGATAATATTTAGTATATCTAAAATGCCACCTCATTTCGGAGTACACAGTAAAGAGTTGTGTTATAATCCAAAGAAATGCAGGAGGTTTGAATCCACCAGCTGCCTTGTGGGACAAAGATGGGCAGTCTCCTCCTGCGCAATTTCAAGCCTCTGAAAATCCACTGCAGGGTCAGCTATGAGTCGGATCCAACTCAACAGCAAAGGACAAAGGAACAACAATACAGATAGCTATTGTATGTAGCTCAGTATTTTTATTCCAAATTTAAAAGTGAAGAAGAAATGAGGAGAAGGATTACAGTCTATCAGAAAAAGCACTATTTTAGAGTTTTTTTTTTAAAAAAAGTAATTAAAAATCCCAGGTACAAATTTCAGGAGCCCTGGTGATGAAAGTACTTGGTTGCTAAAGGGCATGTTGACATTTCGAACTCACCCAGCAGCTCAATGGGAGAAAAGAGCCACAATCTGCTTCTGTAAAAATTACAATCTAGAAAACTTTTTGAGGCAGTCTGACTGTCTCACAGGGTCCCTATGAACCAAAATTGATATCAACATCCAGCAGTAATATCCCTTTACTTCTGGGCAAGTTACCTAATCTGTTCCAATCATAACTTTATCCACCAGGATGCAAATAAAAGGGTTGTAGAAAGACATCTAATACAATGCGGACACATAGTAGGTGCTCAATAAATGACCATTATCAGGAGAATGCCACTTTCCTTTTAAATCACTACGACTGCCTACATAGTTCATGTCAAAGAACAGACTCAGAAGTTTAATTAACACAAAGTGCATCTTCACCCTGCTATAATACTTTTTAAAAACCAAGCTCCTTACTGAATGCCAACAAATATGCACCTTCTCCTTTAGCTCAAATATATTTTGCATGACCTTACATGAATTGCTTAGATAAAAGCCTTTCCTTTTCTGCTTTTGTTATTTTAAAGTGCAGATGCATTTGAGTCATTTTCTCCTTTTGTTTCATATCCTTAAGATCCAAAGCTTCAAAGACAGAATGTCAGCATGCAGTCAATTTATGACTGAACTCTTGAAGAGACACTGAAGAATTACCTTGTCAATCACCCCAAGGACTCGGAAGGCCTTCAGTTCCTCGGCAGGGCTCCTTAGGTTCCAAGGGGGCCTTGAACTTAGTGATCCTGGAGGCTAATGGAAGATATCAAAGATTATACATCAATCAGGGAGGTACTTGAAGGAAGACTGCCTGCTGAAGCAAATGCCAAGTCAAAGGAAACTAAATTTATCATAAATCAGAGAGCAGAAAGATGAAAGGAGGAAGTTTCTATTTGTCTGTAATACAAAATTTTTTTAAAGAAAGAAAAAGGTGAAAATTGCAAGTAAATAAACAATGATTGCACTGAAAAAATGTTGAAGAAGAATTAATAAGGTAACATTACTTTAAAAGCAATTTAAATTCAAAATAAAATAGCAATAATGAATATTTGAAAGAGTTAATTGAACTAACAATCAATTATAGCCTTATATTTACCCCAGAAGCTCAAGAGTGATTCAAAAAAAGAAAAACCAGAAAACAATTGTAATAATGGATAAACTTGGTAAAGACAGACAAATCATTCTCCCTCATCATCAAATTACCACTCTTAATGTTATTTTACTAATACACACTATGTAATTTAAGAAGGACTGACAGGCACTAGTTCGTTCATACAAAAGGGAAAGCATTAACAATGAAAAATTTAGAATCTCCATCAAAAGTAAATAATTAATAGACCTGAAGTTGCTGAAGACAAGAAATGGTATGGTATATGTTGTTATTGGGTACTGTCAAGTCAGAACTGGCCCATATCTGACCCTCCAGTAGGTTTTCAGAGACAAGTAATCACATGGGAGAAGATTGCCCATTTTTCTTTTGCGGAGCATTTGGTGGCTTGGAACCATATTCCTTGGGGTTGTCAGTACAACTTTTTACCACTAAGTGACCAGAGCTCCCACTGAGATGGCATTAGAATCAAGAACATTTTCTTCAAATATTTGAACATATCAGATACTAGAGATTAGTCTAAACTAAAAAGTGAAAAAAAAAATCAATGAATAAAAAAGATACTGTGGCAACATATAATAAAAGAACAATCTTAACTTCCTATCCATTTGTTTTACTTTTGCTCTATCAGTAAAATAAGACAATAAACTAAATAAACTCTATGGACCTCTCCCATTGGGTATTTACAAGTAAGCAATCCTTGATGGTTGTTGTTGTTGTTAAGTGCCTTCGAGTCGCAGGCAACTCATAGCGACCCTGTGAAGGAGAGTCCTCAACGCTTGGGTGCCTTTCATCCTCTCTCCAGGTTCATAGGGTTTCCAAAGGCAAGCTATTATGGAAGTGATGCCACTCCTCCTTCCACACTTGTTTTAATTGGGGAGCTCCACCCCACTCTCTGTCCAAATTGGGTAGCCAACCATTAACACATTCGACACATCAGTGTCACAGTAATCCTTGATTAAGCTCTACATTAAAATGGTGATGATGCAGTGATAGGAGACACAAAATACTTCCGTATTCTTTAAAGAGATGGTTTTTGTTTTTAAAAATTCTATTTCAATATAGAGAAAACTTTTAATCAAAAAAGGTGGGAAACAAAACACAAATGCTGGTGAAGTTGTGGAGAAATTTGAACCCTTATTCACTGTTGGCGGGAATGTAAAATGGTACAACCACTATGGAAGGCTTTCTCAAAAAGTTGCAAATAGAAATACCATTTGACCAGCAACTACTGGGAATATACCCTAAAGAAAGCAGAATTGCCACCTAAACAGATATATGCACACCCATATTTATTGCTGCATTGTTCACAAGAGCAAAGAGATGAAAGCAATCCAAGTACCCATCAACAAACAAACAAATAGAGAAGTGAAGCTGTGGTATATTCACACAATGGAATATTACACAGAACTAAAAAACAAGGAACTAATAAAATATTCTACAGAATAGGTGACCCTGAAGGACATTATGCTGCATTAAATATATCAGTCACAAGAAGACAAATACTACGCAATGGCACTGTTATAAAGATAGTCGTGGAGATTGGGAGAAACTAAGAAATGAGGGAATAAGTAATGTATGTACACTGCATTGAAACAGATGAGGGTTAAGAACTATTTAAAAGGAATATATGATTCGGTATTATTTGCATGTTAACAGTCCAGAACAAGAAATGCATATCAAAGTGGACTGGGGGAGGAAATTGTGTAACAATGAAAAGAATTCTTTTAAAGAGAAGAGCAAGTTGGGGGCGGGGAGGGCAGGCGGTAGAGAGGAAAATCTGTAACGATGAATGCATGGAATTCCAAGTTCTCAGGACACTTCTGTTAAAATCTCAATAAATACTTAAAAAGAAAAAAATCATTATCTCCAGCCAATCAACTGGTTTACCAGTACATCAGAGAATAAATGTGAGAGCAATTAGCATGAGCTTCTGTTAAAAAAAAAAAGTGGGAGATTAAAAATTCTGATTAGTCAAGCATTATAGATCATCATTATAGATATTTTTTAAAATATATTTCAAGTTCTTATGCTGACCAACATCACTAGAAAAGAAGCTCCTTGAGAACTTAGAAATCATATTCAAATGCCTAGCAAGTGAACATATGAGACTCTGGTGGCCTGGTGGAAAGGAGCTGCCCTGTCAACCCAAAGGTTCAAATCCACCAGCTGCTCTGCAGAAGGAAGATGGACAGTCTCCTCCTGTACAATTTACTGCCTCTGAAAGCTCACTGGAAGGTCAGCTAGGAGTCTATTTCTACTCCACAGTACACAATAACAAGAGCAAGTGAACATAAAGTTGCTAGTGTTAAATTAGGAAGCTCTGGAGGCTTAATGGTAAGGAGTAGCACTGCTAATGCAAAGGCACACAGTTAGAATCCATCAGCTCCTCCATGAGACTGAAAATATCAAAGCTTCCTTTGAGCTGTGGTGCTAGAGAAGAGTATGAAATATACCATGGAGTGCTAAAAAACAAACAGGTTCATCCTGGAGAGGGTTAAACCTGGCTGCTCCTTGGAGGCAAAGATCCTGAAACTCTGCCTGACATACTTTGGGCATGTTGCAAGGAGGGACCAGTCCTTGGAGGGGGACGTCATGCTTGGGAGGGTGGAGGGAAGGCGTGGGAGAGGAAGACCCTAGATGAGATCGATCAATTCAGTGGCTGGGGTAATGAAGGTAAATGTGTCAGAAACAGTGAGATTGGCACAGGATAGAGCAGTGTTTAGGGCTGCTAGGGTCGACATAGGGTTGCTCTGAGTTGCAGGCAACTCGACAGCACATAACAACAACAACAAAGCATTATCATGTTATATATGTAAATAGATAACAGAACTAATAGCTTCCATTTGATTATATTATTTCATTTTCTCCCAGCCTGAGTGAGAAATTTACAAGAAGTTATTATGTTCTCCAGAATACAGATAAGGGTCAGAATGGCTGCATATTTGTTTGGTGCCAAAAAGAGAAACAGTGCAAGAGTCTTAATGAAGCTCCAACTCCTCACTCTAAACAGATCCTGATCATGAAAAATTCATCTTCCTCTGTCCTAAGTCAGGGAGCTCTGGTGGCTTGCTGGTAAGGAGTAGGGCTGCCAATCCAAAAGCACATGGTTCAAGTCCACCAGATGGTCTGCAGGAGAATGATGGGCAATTTTCTACCATGTAATTAATTGCCTCTGAAAACAGAGATATAAATCATGGTCTCAAAAAGAATTCAGACTTAAGTAATGTTAAAATGCTATGTGGGGGGGAAATGAGATGTGGAAATTCAGTTAAGAAAGGAGTAATTACATGTTGTAAAAAGAGCAAGGGCAATATGTTGTTGTTGTTATGTGCTGTCGAGTCACCTGCAAAACTCATAGTGAAAATGAGTCACTACGTACTCATAGTACAATAGGTCTGAACTCTGCTCAGTCCTGAGCTAATCTCATCACTTATGACACATCTGCTCCCAATACCCCAGACAATGAGCCAATTCATCTCAACCAGAGTCTACCTCTCCCAAGTTGTCCCTCCAGCCTTCCAAGCATGATGTCCTTCTCCAAGGACTAGTCCCGCCCTGGCAACATGCCCAAAGTATATGTGAGACAGAGCTTCAAAATCTTTGACACCAATCCTCTCAAGGACAGACCTGTTTTTTTCTCTTGGCAGTCCACTGTATGTTCAATACTCTTCTCCAGCACCACTACTTCAAAGACATCAATTCTTCTTCTATCATCCTTAGTCACTGTCGAGTATAGCAAGTATAGCAAAGACCATAGTCTGGATCAGGTGCACCTTAGTCTCCAGACTGGTATCATTGCTCTTTAGACTGGTATCATTGCTCTTTAATTCATCTTTTGATTTCCTGACTGCCAAGAGTGTTAACTGTTAACCAAGCAAGCTGAAATTGTTAACATTCTCTATTTCAGCTCTATCATGATGCTGTCAACGGACCCAGTTGTGGGAATCTTTTTTCCTATTGTTGACCTTCAATACACATTGAAGACTGCAATCCTTGACCTTCTGCCAACAAATGTTTCTGGTCCTTTTCAGTTTGAGAAAGCAAGACTGTGTCATCTGCATAATGCATGTTGTTGATAAGTCTTCCTCCAATTTCTATTCCACATTCCTCCACATAAAGTTCAGCCTCCCACATAATCTATTCTGCATACAGACTGAAAAGGTATGTATGGAGACAGGACACATCTCTGACACACACCTTTCCTGATCTTGAATCGTGTGTAGTGTTTCCTTGTTTTGTTCCGAAGACTGCTTTTTGGTCCAAGTACAGGTTTTGCATGAGCACAATCAGGTGTTCTGGAATTCCTATCCTGAAAGTTAGCCACAACTTGTTGTGATCCACACAGTTAAATGCCTTTGCATAATCAAGGAAACACAGATAGACATTGCTCTGATACACTCTGCTACTGGCTAAGAACCATCTAATGCTGGCTATAATGTCCCTAGCAACATGGCCTCTTCTAAACCCAGTTCACACATCTAGAAGTTCTCTGCTAATATACTGCTCCAGCCATCTTTGGGTAATTTTCAGCAGGATCTTGCTTGTGTATGATATTAGTGATATTGTTCAATAGTTTTCACACTCAGTCAGGTCACCTTTTTTTGGAATGGGAATAAATATGCATCTCTTCCAGTCAAATGAC